TAAAACTCTTTCATGCCTCTTTGCCTGTTGCCCATGGTCATCCTGCTCGAGACACTGCCCTCCCCCACTTCCCCGGGTCTCCAGCAGGTGCCTGCCCTGCCTTTCGGCTCCAGTAGAGTCACCGCTCCTTAGGAGAACTGTGAGACCCGCACATGGAGAAGCCCACCCTCTGGGCCCTTTCAGTGCCCTGCAGGCGTATGGACCATAGCCCGGGTCTCATTGTGTTCACTACTAGATTCCCTCAAGAACAGGCCTATGCCTAAATGATTTCTGCCACATCTGCAACAGGCATACTGCCTGACATTTCATAATCTATCAATAATATGTATTGTGTTTCAGTAAACATATGGATGAATAAAATCAAAAAGGAAAAAACTATTTTAAAATGTGGACCCTCCTTTTTTTTTTTTTTTTTTCTTGATTGGACACTAACGTATTGGATTTTAGAGGACAATGGGGAAAAATGGTCTTTTCATGGCCATTGCATTATCAAGATTTAAAAACAAACTGAAAACAAACTTGTATCTGGATAACACAGCAAGGCTTTTTTTTTTTTTTTTTTTCTTTTGAGTCTTTTTAGTCTATTGCCATCTTTCTTGCTGAGAAGCTTGTGCAAAAATGAAGGTGAACTTGGGAAGTCCCAACCTGGATTGATCTCTTTGTATTACGTTCAGAGCCCCTTTTGCATTTGGGCTACTTTGGGTGGTGCATCCAAAAAGATGCAATAAAAGGTGAATTCACTCCGGGTGGACTGTGGCTGCCTTCCAAGTGGAGGTGAATGGCGATCTGACTCTCCTCTCAGACCACCTCACCGGGATAGGCTCAGACAGGACTGGAGGCTCGGCCCTGTTGCTTGCCAGCTCCAACAAGATGCTGAGCTAGAACGTGCACCTGTGGCACACAGATCATCTGTTGTGAGCTTGCGGCTGCCATTCACTTGCTATTTGACTCCGCTTTTCTGAGCTTCCATTTCTTCGTCCATGATTTGAGGATTATGACCTCATTGAGCACAGCTCAACTGTTGTGAAGACTGAGATACACTTAGCAAAATCAGCAGGCCTGTTTTTTAATACATAGGAGGGGCTCACAGATGGTAATCTTCTCTTTCCTCCTCCCACTTGTCTTTCTTCAGAAGAGAACATTCTAGCCATCCATGATAAAGAGGTCATTTCTGGCTTTCTTTTTCTGCTTAGTAAGGATGGGGTAGGGCTCTGGTATCCTGTGTATATCGCTTTGGCTTGCATACCCAGGCACACCCGTCCACAGGGCTTTGTTTCCTTAACCTCGAGTTATGTAAGGAGTAGGTGTAGAGTCCCGGATTTATTTCCACAAGGACCTGTTTCCAAATCCCTGCTGATTGCTCTAGGCTCCGTGTGAGTAGGAAAATGCGAGGCCCACACATGTTCCCCGCTGCAAGCACCAGGCCTGAATTAGGTCATGCAATCATGGCATTTTCATCATTTCATAAGCCGCTGCTATGACAGCAGGTTAGGGCCACAGAGAATAAGGTAAGAGCAGGTAGTTGCTTAACCTTGCCCTGTATTTACACATACATGTTGGCAGGGAAACGGTGACTCATTCCCCCTTGCTGGGATACAACTGGTAGGCCAGCTCCTAATGACTTTATACCAAAGGCTACTCTCCCCACCACCTTCAGCTAAATTTTCTACAGCTGAATTGAATCTCTGGCAGTACAGAGCATGTTAGGAAGAGTAGTAACCTGTCTGACACCTACGAGACCATTGGGCAACACTTAGGGAGTGCATAGGTGGGATCTAAGAAACTCTCAAAGCCTGTGGGAAATAGAAGGAACAATAGTTGGTGATTTGAAGATTGGAGATAGTGATGAAAGGTACCACCTACTATATGTCAGGTGATTTGTCTAGAATTTTCTCTAATCCTCATTATCAACCCAGCTCAGTTTGTAACTGATGCTCAGACAAGTTCAATAATTTCTCCAAGGTACCAATGTTAATAAGCAGCAGAGTTGGGACTCAAATCCAAACACGTCCAATGTCAAATCACATGTACCTTACACTTCATCATGGCACCTCCCTATGGTCAAAGTTGGGTGTTTTGCCTGCCCCACTGCTCATCTCCCTAGAACTGCCATTACAGTCGGACCTGCTGCGACTGTCAGTCATGGTGCCACCCCTCCTCTATCTGCCACTCACAGACTCTATTTGTAACTGCACAGGAACCGCATTTCTTTAATATGATGTTTTCCTGAATTCAAGCTAGCTTTGAATTCAGTATCATGAATAGACTGCATGTCCAGTCCCTTAATCATTAAACCCAAGGACACCAGGTTCTGGTCAGCATCAAACTGTCTTAAGAAAAAGCCTCAGGTCTGTTAATCAAGGGAATAGAGTTTTGTCCAAACCAAAGATAACATCTTGACTTCACTTGTGTTTCACATCCTGACTCATAAAAGCAGAATGACCCTACCAACTACACCCTCATTCATACATTGAACAATTATTCCTAGGGTTTGCTACATGCTAGGGCATATAAACTCTGTACCCTGCGGAAGTTTACAGTGAATAAAACGGACAAGTTAAATCAGCAGTAATTTAAGCAGTGATTCTGGGAATGTATACACAAATAAGGCTATCTGGGCAATCAGCTGCTGAGAGAAGATTACAGAGGGTGTGTGTGTGTGTGTCAACATTTAAAAATCTATAGAAAACAGATAGACAACCAGCCCCTTTCCCTTTCCCTCATTATCCATCATGTTTGCATAGAGGGCCTCATTCTAATCTCTCAGTAGCAACTCCTCCAATATACTATTATCAAAATGAAAATAGTATACTATTATACATTATGAAAATGAAAATATATCATGACCAATTTGTTCCCCCCCAAGAAATAAAAGTTGGTTTAACATTAGAAAATTAAGAACTGTTTACTACATTAACAGATTAGAGAAAAACAATCTTATGAGTATCTCAATAGATGAAGAAGAATCATTTAATAAGTTTCAATATCTTAAGGAACGACATAAAAGAACTTTTATAACTTGACAAAGGGTGTTTACCAAAAACCTAATGCAAACATTAGGTAAGGAGCTATTTCAAATATATCCACAAGAGATGATAGTGTGTTAGCATTGGGATGGTGGCCTATATTTGGGGTGGTGGTAGAGGATGGAAAGAAATAGGCAAAGGAGAATTTATTATCTCGCTGGCAGAGGACACTTCACACCCATATTTTGAGCAGCACCTACCCTAAGGCTCAGCACATAACAGATGTACCAAACATGTTTACTGACTGATAGATAAAGGAGTATCATAAGACACTGCCATCATTTCAGAGGGTGTAGCTAGAGATTATTTTAGGCTCCAAGAGATTCTTGCTTAGAGTTGTGTTTTGGTCAAAATCTACCCAGAGTGCTCACTGTTCCAATCACTACATTTTTCATATTCAGCTGCCAACAGACCTCCTCTGTCCCCAAACTCACACTAGAATTTTTCAGTATAAATTTGTTCTGGATAATTGCTTCCTTTGAATAGTATTCATATAACAGATTGCTCTAAACAATATAATTTTTCTTTCAGTGATTGAAAGTTATTGGGAAAGCATTTGGCCTTTAAGGGTATTATGAGATGAAGTAAAAAAAAAAAAAAAAAAAAAAAAAAGCACGATTTGGGGACCCTATTTCATAATCTGAAATGTACTACATGATTTATTGATTGATTCAACAAATTAAGAATTTATTACGTATCAGACATTATGTTCCTGCCCATTCATGCAGGTGTCAGGGAAAGCAACAGTAATAGAACTTAAGAAAAGTGAACTGTGAAAGGTAACTTGTGGCACAAAAGGCTGAATGGTTTGGGGTTGATGAGAATCCAATAGCTACTGGTTAATCAAATAAATCTCAATCACCTCTTATGTATTTGCACAGTGCTATGCTCTCCTAGAGGGCGTTGACAAAAACAGAGAAGCACTGAACTCGACACCAGCATCATAATGCACTTTCGTTGCAATACAGAATAAAAAGGATGAATCCTAGTGTGCCCTAACTGTATGTATGGCCTTAATCAAATCACTCAGCTGTCTATGAGTCCCTGAAACACATCGGGGGAGGGGGAGGGGGACTTGGAGCAATGAGTTTATTTGGAAATTAATTCCAAATAATTGAGGGTATGGGGAAAGCGAGACAAAGCAATAATAAGTCTCTGAATGATCCATTACTACTGTGGACCTCTGGAGCTCAATCCTTCTAGAAATCACCTTAGTAATCCTCGAAAGTGCAGCTCTGAATTTTCCTGCGAAGGGACAGAGCAGCTGGGATGTTTAGCCACTTACCCTTTTCTCTCCCTGTGTGAGAGTTGCCCCTGGCATGTCACGGCTGTTGTGCATGTGAATGAAAAAGGACTTGAAGTCAAAAGCTGTCTGCTTCAGGTGAACTCAGCGATGGACTTTGGTGAGGTGGAGTAGAAAATCAACAGCATCTGTTATAGTCACCAATCGCAGTTTTGATTTCCTGATCTAGAGATAAAAATTCCCTATACACTACAGGACAGTGGTGGGCATTCAAGTCTTCTATATACATTTTTGTGAAGAAGGAATATTTGTCCTCAGTCCTTTGAGAAATGGCGAGATATATGAAAATATACAGCAGCATGGTTCTCCTCGCTCATGAATCCTATGACCTGGGAAGCAGGGGTTATAAGCCGGTGTTGTCTTCATCATCTCCTTTGAGCACCAGCCAAGAGAAGATTTTGATAGGGACTTGAGGAAAGGGGCCAAGTTAGAAAAGTTTGGGTTCACTGCAAATGTTTATTTAACTCACACACTTCAAAAGCAGTTATTGGAGAAACATTTGCAGATTCATGTCAGATGAATCAACATCCTTCACCGATATCACAGCCGTAGCCTGGGGGAGTGCATTTAGTTAGCTAACCTGCAGCTCACATGGTATGAGACTTGTTTGGGAAGCCTTGACAATCCAGTGTCAAGTTTCTGGCTGCCTTTCACATCCTGGTGCTGGAAGGGCAGCCTGAGCTGGGATTGATAAAGGACCATCGTTCTCCGCTAATTTATGCATTCATTGGTTGATTCTTATACGTCGGGACTGAGCCAGCAACCTTGGTGTATGGGGAAGATACTCTAACTGACTGACCTACCATTCTCAAAACTTGAGCGCTCATCAGGACCATTTGGAAGATATTTTAAATCATAGGTAAGGGGTACAACCACAGAGCTTCTGATTTAGCAGTTCTGGAATGGTGCCAAGAATCGGCATTTCTAATCAGTTCCCAGGTGATGTTGGTGCTCCTGGTCCGGGAACCACATTTGGAGAACCAATAGGTTAGAAGATGCTAGAGTCGCACATGAGTGGGAGGAGGTGGGGGTGGACGTCACTAAGCGCTCTGCTGAGCTGGATGATAAATCTGGGACCCAAACACAGATCAGCCTCTTGTCCTTGGCTTTCAGAGATGTCACTGCAGGTTCATAATCTCCAAGGACATTTCTATTCACTTTCCCTTCTGCATTTTGCCCAGAATACAATACACATCTTTACTGCCCCCCAGGATTCAGACTAGCCTTCCAAAACAAGACTTTGCTTTTAAAAAAAATTAAAAAGGTGGATTTTTGCTAATAGACTGCATGGAAGAAAGATGGAAGAACGCCAAAAATACAAGAAAGAGGAAAAGGAGGAGGGATGGAAGGAGTAAAAAGAAGAGGAGGAAAGGGATGCAGGTGAGTGATGACATTATGAATATACATTACACTCCAAGCTCTCTGACTTGAATTTTCACACACTTTGGAATGTTGAAGTCTCACAAATGTTCTGCATGAGGAAATCAAGGGTTAAGCAGATTAAAGGATCTTCCCAAGGAGATAAAAACTTGTAAGAGGCACAGGCAGGACTCAAACCCGGAGCTATTCAATTCCAGATCTAGTGGAATTTCTGCTGTTCTCTAACGTCAGGGAAAGTGCATCTATATGGAGGGGGTCATTACATGAATGATTTGGAATCGGGAAGACATGAGTGAAGCAGTGCTTGCCTCAAATGTTTCACCGATCCTTGTATTTAAGATCATGGTATGGTCTATGGCTCTTCTTTTTGGCTCCTTGACCTTGAGGCAAGTCCAGGGTGCCTTTTACAGTGTTGTTACAATAAGGAGGCAGCACTGTGATCTCCCTGCCTTTGTATCTGTTGATCTCACTGCCCGGGTGGCTCTCTCCATTCTAGTTGGGATGCATTATGTTGCAGATACTCTAGGCCAGTGGTCGGCAAACTGCGGCTCGCAAGCCACATGCGGCTCTTTGGCCCCTTGAGTGTGGCTCTTCCACAAAATACTGACTTCTGCGCATGGGCCACGAAGTTTCAATCGCACTGTACATGTGCGCCCGCACGTGGTATTTTGTGGAAGAGCCACACTCAAGGGGCCAAAGAGCCGCATGTGGCTCGTGAGCCACAGTTTGCCGACCACGGCTCTAGGCAAACCACTCCGGATCCAGGAGGAGTTCTTAGTCTACACTTCACAGAAAGCCCAGGAAGGAGGACACAGGACCACAGACCTACCAATGCAGGAGCCTTTGAAGGCCTCACTCTCCATCCCTATAGGGCCAGGCTGTAACCCCACAGCTTAGCAATTGACGGTATTCAATCTGGAGGGTCATTTCAACATTCCACTAGAAAGTGCCTACGGAATGATGAAATGGCTGGTATTTTAAGCTGACTGCTTGTTTATTCCGATTTCATAATATCTACCCAGATCCCTCTAGATTTCTTCATTTAAGACAGGTCACTGCTAATATTTTCTATTAGTCAATTTAGCCCTGCAGTAAATAGTGTTCCAATGAAGCATGCAAGAGCGTGAACTCCAAGGAGGGCAGATTAGGATGAAAGATAAGGATGATTCCTGCCAGTTGCATAATCCAGAAAGGCGGTGATCTCGCTCAGGCATCTGATCCCCGTTGGGTGGTATTAAACCTGAGACTAAACCAACATTTAGAGGGCACACGATGGAGCACCAGGCAGTGGGGCCGTGTCAGTGCTGAGCTTTTTGCAGAGTGTTTGGGCAGAGGGCTAAAAACATAGAATCCATGGAGAAGGGAGAGTCAGATGAAGAATCCAGCCCAGCTGGCATGGCTCAGTGGTGAGTGTTGACCTATGAACCAGGAGGTCATGATTTGATTCCCGGTCAGGGCACATGCCCGGGGTGCTGGCTCGATCTCGAGTGTGGGGTATGCAGGAGGCAGCCGATCAATGATTCTCTCTCATCATTGATGTTTCTATCTCTCTCACCCTCTCCCTTCTTCTCTAAAATCAATAAAAACATAGTTAGAAAAAAAAAAAAAAGAATCCATCCCTGACCATTTGGAATGCCCAAGCCATTTAAAGTCGGCAACACTCCATGTAAGATGCAGAATAGGCATCAGTCTGACAATACCAAGATTCTGAAAAAAGACTAGATTGGAACAAGAAACGGCCTCTTTGAGCTTGTAGGTAAACACAAACTGTGGAGGTGTACCCTTCCAGTATCGGGCAGTTTTTCTCAGTGCAAACCACAACCAAATTTAAAACCTAGCACAGAAATGACATTCAAATATGTGATTCCTTACCTGGGCCAAGAAGGAACTAAGAAGAGCCTGGAAGGGGATTAGGAGGGTGGAGATCAGCTATGCCATTTGGTTGTAGCTCATTTGCATAGAGAAAAAAGAGATTTGACTATGAAGTTCCTCACACAAGTAAAAGAGGGCATCAGCCTTATTAAAACTGTGTAAGCTAATCTGTAAATTAGAACCCACCTTTTTTACATAATTCACTACAAATTTGTTCTTCTTTTAACAATAGGCCCTAGTGATAAAATCTGGGTCCACCTTACTTATGTAAATTATTTTAGAATCAAGAGTACAGCATACTAACAGGAAGGCAGTGTTTAAGGAAGTTTCTTTTAAAAATCCTAAACTCCTTCAGTGAAAGAACTCAAACATCAGTGGGAAGGCCAGGGAGGGTTGGGGGGCAGGAGGGACGGGGGTAAGAGATAAACCTAAGGACTTGTATGCATGCATATAAGCATAACCAATGGACACAGACACTGGGGGGTAGGGGAGGCCAGGGGATTGTCAAGGGTGGGGGGGGGGGAAAGGACACATATGTAATATCCTTTGTAATACTTTAAGCAATAAAACAATTAAAAAAATACAATAAAATAAAATAAATAAAAAATAAATACATCCTTAAAAAAAAAAAAAAAAAAGAACTCAAACATCAAGCATTACAAATCAACCTCCACATCGAAGGGCTTGCCCCCTGAAGCCCTGCTCTAATGTCCCGGGAAGTAATTCTGGAACAAAATGTCTGTTATCTGAAATCATGAACGTGTTGTATATGTTTGTGTGTGCCTGTGTATATGCCTGTGTGTGCCTGTGTGCATCCATGTCTCTGTGTGTGCGATGCATGTTTGTGGCAAAACCAGAGGGAAAGAAATAGAGCTGTTTTAGAAGCTTGGAGCCCAAGAAGTCCAAAGAGGCATCCACCAACATCCCCAAACAGATGAAGAAGGGTTACGGGGCCAACAAACCCAAACCCAGCAGGGGCTTCAGGATGGGGTTTGCAGGCAGGCGCTCCGCAGTCACAATGACGGAGGAAACGTATTCCATTTCCCCCAACCTTGGCTTCTTAACTGCTAAAATTGGAAGAAGAATAGCCACAGTAGGGAGTTATCATGAGATTTAGCTGAGATAATATATTTTGCACAACTACCGGACACAAGTGCTTACTACATGCTGGCAGGTGTCACTGGGGAGTAAACAGGTAGTGCAGAGCAAAATGCAGACTAAACCCATTCTTTGAACTGTGTTTTATGTGCCACTCGGTGCGAATGGGAAGTCAGCCCACATTAAAAGGCTCAGATATCAACCATATAATGTCACTGTGAGGTTTAAATAAAATTACCCACACAAACACAATTATATATAATTGTCTGGCACATGGTAAGCATTCAGCAATTCGTAGCTCTTATTTTTATTAAGAAATTTTCTCTCGCCTTATGTTTGAACTTCAGATTAATCATCATGCTAGAAAATGGTCTTCTTATAAACATACGTGCCACAAGAGGGAAAATAATAAATGGATAATAAACAAGGAAAGGTGTCCAACAAAAAATAAATTAAAACAATGATGCCTTTTTTTTTTTTTACATAATGTAACACAGATTATTTTTTTTCCTTTTAATGATAAACCCTAGTTATGCTAAGGATTCATTAAAATACACATGGCTATATGTTACTGTTGGGAATGTAGATGGCAATGATCCTTTTGAAAGTCGCTGAGCAGTATGTATTCAAGGCCTTCAAGTGTTCAAAACCTCTATCTAATAATTATATTTCTTAACATCTAACTTATGGAAATAACTTAAAATACAAGGGAAAACTATAAATGTGCTTCCCTGCAGTATATTTTCCAACAGAAAAAAATAAGGAGCAACCTAAATAATTAAAAGAGGACAAATGGTTGCTTATGTAACTTGTACTTTGGCCCTTTTATTCAATGAAATATTATACAGCTATTAAAAATAAGGCCAATAAAGAGTTTAAAATAACATATTAAAGCTTGTAATGTCATGTTAAAGATAAAAGCAGTATAATAAAATTGTTTAAATAGCAGGCCCACAGTACATAAAACAACTTATTAAAAAAGAAAAGAAAATACACTGATATAATAGTGATTACCTGAGAATGCTAGTAACTTTTCTCTCTGTTATTCTGTATTGCAGTTCTTTTGTCTAATAAGCATGTGTGTGTGTTTTCATAATAGTGATAAAAGTCCAATTAAATTTCCCTACAAAACTCCAGCAGCAAGATTTTCTGGTACAGGGGTCAGCCTAGTATAGTCCAACCTGCCACCTGCTTTTTTAAACAAATATTAGAGCACAACTACTAATTCACTTGTATATTGTTTATGGCTGTGTTTATACTAAGATGGCAGCTTGAGTAGCTGCAATTGAGACTGTATGGACCCACAAACTCAAAAATAGTTACCACCTGACTTCTGACAGAAAAAAACAACAACAGCCAACTTCTGGTTAAAACATTGCACACAGAAGACTTGACCTAGCCCAAAAGCTTGAAAATAGGTGCTGTTCAACCCTGAGAAACATTTCACCATTCCAGTAGAATCTATCCAAGAATAAAATAGTGGATAACTTTAAAGTTGTTGATTTTCCTTTCCAATTTTACAACTTCTACCAAGAGACCTGTATATTTCTCCATTTGAGACAGGCTGTTGACAATAATTGCCATTAGTCCATTTAGCCTGGCAACGCTTAGATAGTTCAGAAGGAGCAGGCAAGCGTGAGAACTATACGGAGGACAGCTTCCACTGAACTATCAGGATGACTCCCAGAAGCTGAATGATCCAGATATGGAATGGTCTTACGCCTGAAACTGGACAAATACTTAGGTTATGGAGAAGCAATCTATGGGGCAGGGTAGCTGCTGAGTTCTTCCACCTTGCATTCTGGGAAGAGGGTTGAAAACATGGGCCTGGGGAGAGATGCAAGTGCAGCGGTGACCAGTTGGGGTGCCCAAGTCACCTCACTTTGGTGGGGCCTGCACAAGCTGATTCGGCATCACCTGCTTCCACATTGCCAGAAATAGGGACGTCATTTTTAAGGATCCCATTCTGTAGCTGTCCCTTGTTTATAAATACCAAAGAGCTTCCCTGTGATTTTATACCCTTTAACCCTCCATCTTGAGAAATTCCAAAAGATTTGTTTCCACCTGCAATGAGTAAAGTCCATTTTAAGCCCCAGCATTATCTCTTTCTACCTGTGGGCAGGAGCTGGGACTTAGAGGTATGTGAAAAGAAGGACACAAACATTGCTAAACTGTCGGTGTCTTTGCCTCTTTGGCAATAACTACTGTTCTTCATGCCTTATCCTAGGGAGGATCCAAATGCTGACTCTCTGAAGGGCCGATGTGAGCTCTTCTTTAGGCCTTGTAAGGGCTGCCACAGTTGCCTAATGTAAGTCCTGTCAGGCAATCTCTTAAATCCATCAGATCTGCCTATTGATTGTGCATCTTATAGCCTTTGATGCTGTGGTATCTGGCCTCAGTCCAGATGGTCTTTATGTTCAAGGTACTCCCTTCTTGCTTTGTATTTGACCTGTGGGAATTCACACACCCTCACTAAAGGGTAGGGGTAGAGGGTGCTTTATCTCCCCTTCTGTCATTCTCCCATGTCCTCTCCCCTGCAGTCTCCACATCAGAGCAGAGTAAGCTACCGAGGCAGGCATTCCTTTTGGATAGCAGCAAATATGAACAAATTAGTATTTTCCCTCATTTGACACAGGCATTCAGTATCTATGGTATGTGTGGTTCCCTTGGAGCCACTTCCTTCTCTTGGCTTCAGAAAGTATAGGAAGACTTTACTGTACATGCTACTAATCCAAAAACTCATGATTCTGACAACTGTCCAACTCCTTTTACCTCTCACTCAAAGTGTCTTCTTACATTAAATTATATGGGAAGTAGATGGGGGCCTGGGGGAGGGTGGGGAATAGCATGTGTGCCTTTTAATAAATCTCCAATGGAGGTTGCTGTCTGTGATTATTTGTGGCTCTAGATAGATGTTTTGGGTTCCTAATGATTTCCTGCAGCTTTGGCTCCTAGTCATAATTTTGGAACAACAGGCAAAGTCCTACTATACAATCTGTTACACCATTATTAACCGCCTGATCATGGTTACCTAAGGTGTGTTCTCAGAAGTCCAGTCCTAGGAAATGCTTCACCCAGAATCCCCTTCATGGAAAATCACCATGAAGCCACAAGGCTTGGGCAAGCCCTATAGTTTAGCTTTCTTTTTAAAAAATATATTTATTTTTATTGATTTCAGAGAGGAAGGGAGAGGGAAAGAGATAGAAACATCAGTGCTGAAAGAGAATCATTGATCAGCTGCCTCCTGCAAGCCCCACTCTGGGGATCAAGCCTGCAAACAGGCATGTACCCTGACCGGGAATGGAACCATGAGCTCCTGATTCATAGGTCGACACTCAAACACTGAGCCATGCCAGCCAGGCTAATTTAGCTTTAAGTGCGCACTACTGCTGTGGCCTGCTTTATTGTGTATAAAATATATTCCTTCATAAATTACTTTCATTCATTCATCCATTTATCCTCTCAACCATCCACATTTATTGTGTATCTACTCTTCTCTAGGTCTGATTAAATACATCTCTTGGAATAGTTATCTGCAACCTCCATTCTTCACAACAGCCTTTTGAGACAGTGTGGCAGATCACTCTCTCACTATCCGTATGCTGCAGATGAGGGATCTGAAGATCAAAAATGTTCATTACTTTTTACAAGGGTCTATAGCCATTAAAAGAAGGGGGTAGGGTGGGGAAGAAGGAGCGGATGGGACTTAACTAGTAGACTGTGGTATCCTAGATTTCATCACATGGCTACTCAAGAATGTTGAGAAACAAAGCATATGTACAAGGAAAGGAAATATGAGGACAAATCCTGAATTTTCACACAAATCCAGCATTACACTGAATGTCAGCACCACATCAGCTTTTCCAATGTAATTTTGAGGTGCCATTTTTTATGTTATAGTGACGTGACTGAATAAACACAAACTGAGTCTCACTTCAAAATGTTTCAATTCTCTTTTTTTTTTTTAAACAAATTTGATTATGTGGTTTTAAATGCCAAAAGGCTCCCTTTAGACTTTGGTTAGACTGACAAACAAGCAAAGAAATGACAAAGATTGGACTCGTTTAATTTGGCCAAGCAACAATAGACCATCTCTGAGCCATGGAGGCCTAGCGGGCATATTCTGGATTTGATGAGAACCTTTTTCAGAGCATCTACCCAGCCATAGGAGGATTCCAGAAAATCGCCTTATTTGGAAGTGTGAGTGTTGGAACTCAACAACAACGGCTGAGGATGTCTGAAACTGGAAAATAAAGTTTCACACTGAACTAAATATAACTTCCTGCCAGGCAGGTAGGGGCTGCTTGCCAAATGTTGATGGTTGTCAAGATCCAAAAGTCATGAAGAAGGCCAATATTTGGACAACTGGAATTGCTTTCGAGATGGGTAAATTTTCCTATTTAAGGGGAGACAAAGGTTGAAGGAATTAGTTAATTACCTCTCACTCCAAAGCTTTCTAAACTTTAAATATAAGAAGCTCATCCTTTACTTCAGTATAAATAGAATCTAAACCAAGATAATGAAATCACCTCTTAGGCTGCCAGTATATGTTTCCATGGAAAGACAACTTTGAAAATCTCTTCTCCAAAATAACTTAAAAAGAGGTCAACAGAAAGAGTCAGGAGGGAAGCAAATCGCATCAAACAATGTCAACCAAACAATGCCTCAGAGAAATGTCTGCAGACAGTAACCACTCTGAGGGCAGCCAAAGATCTATATTCTTCGCACCCACCACCATAGTGCCCTGCATAGAAATAAGGAAACTCTCAAGTTCATACCTGCTGGAGACCATGAAGAGAACATCACTGGCTCTGAGACAAAATGGTTGGTGTGACTAAGACGTTCGCATTGTTGGGGGTAAATGTGTGGCACTGAGGATAAGGACCAAGGATCCTGAATTTCTTTAGAAATGGAGTTTGGCTCTCCCACAAAGAAGGCAGACAGGATTTTTCAGAGGTTGAAAAACTAAACGTTTTCAAGCTAAACATTGGCAAAGCGGTGAGGTATGGTGTTCATTTTGTCTACATTTTTTTTTAGGAGGCATTATGCCCCCAAGACCTAGTTTGGCATAATGTCCTTCTACAACTCAAGGACTGTGACAGGTACCGCCTCTCTGTCTCCTGGAAAAATCCTGGTTCTCATTCCTGTGGAGCCTTGCTAACTCATGGCTTCAAATTCAAGGAGGACACACAGCTAGAGGAGATAGTTCACGTGCTAGATGACAATATTAGGAAAATGAAATTATCCAAACAAGGCAGGTTGAAACATATTACGTGAAATAGATAATGCCCTACATTTTGATTTAGAAATGTACGACTTGCTCTCAGTATAGATCACGGAAGTTTGCATATTAGGTTGAAAACAATCTATATGTGGAAGAAGAAAGTTAGGTATTTACCACAAGTTGAAGCTAAGCCTGGAATATAATATAACTTATTCGAGACAGGTCGGGGGAGAGTGGCTCTGGAAGAAATGCTCGAGACATTCAGGGAAATTTAATGGCATAACTAAGAATATCACAAGGAAACCTGCTATGCCATTTCCTGTGTCACTGACTATCTCTAAGCCTCAGGGTTCCCAACTATATAATAGAAATAATAAAACCAACGGCGGGTGCCTTGTTCCCAGTGTTATCGCGAGGATTCAATGCCAAGGAAGTTACAAGTTGTTCTGATTATTAGCATCATTTTTAACAGTAAGCAACTCAAAGTTTGAGATCTACTGGGACATTTGAAAAGTACTGGAAGAATGTAAATGGATATCGACATTCCAGTTTCATAAAAGAAGAACTTGGTAGACCATGTAAATTATGAATGTAAATGTACATAATACAAGTGTAAAATGTACATGCAGCCAGTCTTTTTAGTTAAATGCAATATAACCTGGCATATAAGACACTTGCAGGGATAGGTAGATCCCTGTCTCTCCAACTTGCGTTTCAGCTATTCTTGCCTACAGTTGATGTTCCAACAACCATGATACCCTTTGCCGTTAGACCATTCCATTATCAACCCCGCCACCTGGAATGTTCTTTTCCTACCATTTGCTTGCTTATCTCTTCAGACTCCCTACCTCCAAAGAGAAATTGTATGCACTGATTTCTTTTGTAATCAACCAGTGGCAATATATTTTAGACGTGGAGCAACTGAAATAAGTGTTCACCATTGGTTGTAGCTTCCTTTGCAGCAGAAATGCTATAAAACACAGTTTCGGGATCTTAAACAATGAAGATACAACCTCCCACCAGTGTGTGGGGGTCTCGGGGAGCCCTGCCTCACCATTTCCTGCATGTAAAATGGCACACTATTTCCGGGGGAGCCCCAGGAGCAAATCTTAAGAGCACCTTTCAGCCAGAGAATTTGAAAGCACTTCAGGAACATGAATATACTCATTCTTATTCATAAAACACACACAGCTATTGATGCTGATCATAACGTCTCTTCTGAAGCATTCCTAGGTACCCACACTTGCTGATGCATTTTCTCACTGGAGTCTAGCCTCCCTTGTGGTCTCCGGTTCTGGGCTGTAAGTCAGTAACTCTACCCTTCGGAGTGTGCTTTGGCTGCTGTCAGGAACAGCGATCTCTCTGTTCAAATCAAGGGAGCATAATGAAACCTTATCTCCTACAATACCAAACACGCGAGGTTTCCGCTAAACTAATTGGTAGGGAAAACATTTTGCCTTCATCAAGGGGCAGGGCCTGGAGTCAGAAAAATGGAAATGGCAATGGGGTGGGGGAGGATGGGCAGGGCAGGCCGATCCTGTGAATGGGCCTGGAGAAAAGTCTGCCGTAGCGGGAAACGCTTTAGCTGCGGGCTGAAATGAAGATCGTGTTTTGGTTGGTTCCACTGTCTAGGAAGGAGAAACAAATTAGGGTGGAAGAGACTTGAAGTCTAGACAAGACTCTCCCACTAACTAACCTTGATTCAGTTTACTCTTTTGCCAAATTACAATCATTGTTGTGTACAGAATTCTTAAACATACATTCTGCATAAAGCTCAGGTGGAGAACTAAAATAGATATTAAAATGCAACAAACTCATAAAGCAGTGGTTTTCAATCAGGTCGAAATTAGAGTACAATCAATTTACATCAGAAGCTTTTCCCTGAAATATGTGCCCCATTTCTTCCTCCAGTAACCCCCTAACTTGGCATTAAAATGTAAAAATATTTAAAACATTATATACCAATGTAACAATAAAACAACATCATCAACACCAATGCAACCACAAAAGAAAACATTTATCGCGTGTGTTCTAGGTGCCTTGTACTGCACCACAGTTACAAAATCACTGTGTATTCTTCAAAAACTGGGGGAGGAGGTGGGGAATAACCACATTCTTCACTTGTGAATCCCAAACCAGGGAAATTATCCCAAGGGGAAAGCTCAATTTCTGGCCCTTTGAATTCCCCCATGTCCTGTCAATTGAAGAGCAGGAAGAAGTTTGCTTTACAATGACCTCTTCTTAAGGTTAGGTCTGGTTTCAGGTAATTTCAATATATAGAGAACTTAAACTAATATTTTAAAAGCTCGGAGCCTGTAGACCCAAACTTGGTAACCCTCGTCTACAAACGATGTGACCTGCAAGTGGGTCATTTAGTCTCCCGGAGTTAGGTAGGGTCTTCTCTTCTGTGATGTAAGAAGGTCCGTTGGATGATCTCTCAGTGTTTTTCCTACAATGAATGTTCTCCATCAGGGAACTTGACTTCTTGCCCTAGATGTTAGGACCTATCCTGTCCTGTTACAGGACAACAATGGTAGTAGGATGTGGACTGCTGGTAGCATGGAAATTTCTAAGCACCCTCCTGATCTTAACAAGTCAGTGGCTTTCAGGTCTGCTTATGTGTCATTTGTTCATAATAAAACAATTAAATAATGAATGACAGAATGATTCAATAAAAGGACACAAGATAAAGGATACTATGAATTTTAGTACTATTAGCAAATCTCTAAGGATAGTATAATCATTAAGAAAATAGACTTTGAAGATATTATTGCAGCTTATAATTGCATAATTGTATATGGTTATGTAATTAACATTTGTCTTCCTCTCTAAGCTATAAATTCCACATAGCTAGGGACTATAACTGTTTTGTTCACCAATAACCCATACGCATAATGTCCAATACCAAAATGTTGAGTAAATGAATAATGGATTCAAACTTCAGCCCAAGTTCTTAATAGCTTTTAAGAAACTCAACTAGTCATTGAACTTCTTCTATTGTCAAATTTACCTGTAAAATGAAGATAACACTAGTGCTTACCTCTTTGGGATTTTTCAGAAGAAAATAACACACCTAGTTATGATAAAATGGTGGTTATAATAAGAATAATACATTTGACATTCTGTTAAATCAGTCACACACTTTGCCTACCAAATTCTCTGCACTGATTGTGTGAAATACACAGCGAACCATTGCTAATGAATCTGGAACAGAAAACTGCTTAAGCCCCAAACCAAAATAGGCCCCCAACTACTCCTCCCAGATTTGAATGAACTCAAGGGTAGCAAAGCCATTCATCAACAGCTGGTCTCTCTTACCATGGGAAGAAATTCACGACATGCAGCTGACCCAAGAGCTGGCTGGATCTGAAAGAGAATGGAGAATAAAGGTGGGCTCCATGTGCTCTGGTCTGCTTCGCCAATCTCTCCAATGCCAATCCATTTATACATTCTACCTCCCTCAAAGAGGAGTGACAACTAATCACAGTTCTGTACATTATAGATAACTGATAGCCATGCAAAGTGATTCTTGCCCACAGACATGTACATTTGGTTAGATATGGTCAGTGAAAGTTCAATTGTTCTTCCTCCCCCACTGCAGAAAAGACTAATTTTCCCTCCATTTGAACATTCATTTTACCATCTGATCTGTAAATGTGCCTGTTCTTTGAAATCTCCTTTGAACTGGCTGTTAACA